GCGGCTGCTCAGCTCGGGCTGGACTCGAACCGCTGTTGCTCAGAGCTCAAACTCTTGAGCGAGCTCTTAACCAACTGAGCCACTTGGCCGGCCCTTTTTGTTGTTCTTGTTGTTATTGTTGCTGTTTCAAGCCTCAAAGTTTTGGGGTAATTGGATATGCAGAAATATATAACTAATACTGTTATTCAGTTCCTTTCCTGATTCCAGCTGATAATGTGACAAAGCTTAAGGGTTTCACAACTTGAGCACATTAGGGTGCTAGCCGTTGGGGTACAAAAGGGGAACTAAGTTACCAAGAGATTCCACGGAAGAACTAGGCACATGACTGGATTAGTATTTTAAAACAATCATTCTAGTTGATTTGTAGCAAATGAATTGTATGAGAACAAATGTGGCACCATAGAAAGGAGTTGAGCTATTAGAACAAGTGAAAGAGAATGAGGGCTTGGACTAGAATGACAACTTGTGAAGATGGAGCAAAGGAAATGGATACTTTTACTGTATGGGGAAGTGTTGTGTTCTGTGTATAGGGAAGACTGGGTGGCAAGGAACAGCCTGGCTTCAGTTTGAAATCACTTCCTTTGGGGAACCAACGACTACTACCTGCCAAATCTAGAAATCCAATGACCTTTTTCTAATCCTTCTCCTCCTTCATACTATTTCCTTTGGCTCTACTGGCACATTACTACCTGGTTCTCCTTCACCCTCTTGGACTGTTCTGTCTCTGCCTTTCCTAATGATTCCTCCATATTTGTCAATAGCAATACAATCTCCCTTTTACTCAGGGTTAAAATTTGGAGTTATTCTCAACTCTTCTCTCTCTCTTTTCTTGAACATATATTTGTCATGTTCCGAATATGCACCAGATTCTATGTTAAACATGAGAGATACATAAATGCAAATAGGCATGGCCCCAGCTTTATGCAGTTTTTACTCTAGTGAGGAAGACAGACATCAAACAATCACATAAGTGAATATATACAAGGAGTATAGGGTTTGTTTGTTTGTTTTTTCCTCCAGTCCAAATGTCTCTGCTTTATTCCAACTTTTAAATAACTTTATTTAAGAATAATGACATATAATAAACTGCACATATTTAAAGTGTACAATTTCATGAGTTTTGACATGAAACCATCATCATAATCAAGATGATGAGTATACTCATTATCCCTTCAAACGTCCTCATGTCCCTTTGTAATTTCTTTTATCTTCACCCTTCATATCCCCAAGACAACCACAGACCTGCTTTCCATCACTATAGTTTGAATTTTTTAGAATTTTCTATAAGTGGAATCATACAGTATGTATCCTTTTTTTGTTTGGCTTATTTTACTCAGCATAAATTTGAGATTCATTCATTGTTGTAGTCTCATGGTTCATTCCGTTTTATTTCTGAGAAGTACCCCATTGTACAAATTATCATAATATGTTTATCTATTCACTTGGTGATGAACTTTGGGATTCTTTCCAGTTTTTTGCTATTATAAGTAAAATGCTAAAAACATTTGTGTACAAGTCTTTGTGTGCCTGTATGTTTCCTTTTGGGTAGATATTTAGGAATAGAATGACTGAATCATATGGTAAGTGTATGTTTAACATTTTGAGTAACTGCCAAACTGTTTCCCAAAGTGGTTGTACCTTTACACTCCCACCAACAATATATGAGAGGTCCAGTTTATCCACACCCTCACCAATACCCAGATCAGACTTTTACATTTTAGGTGTGTAATGGTATTTCATGGTGGTTTTAATTTGCATTTCCCTAATAACTAATGATGTTGAACATCGTTTCGTGTGTTTATTTATCATCCACATACTTTTTTTAAAAAGATTTTTATTGGGGAATTGGGGGATGGGAACAGAGCTGGGGAATTGGGGGAAGGGGAACAGACAAGCTGCTGTCCTTTTGTTCTTCAGTCTAGTTGTGGAGGATGTTGCTTCACTGGCCCAAGTTGGCACTATCATTGCGCTCTTCCTGGGCGAGNTATATATATATATAAAATTTAATAAACACCTGGGTCTACCAAGCTTATTGACTGCCAATAAAAAAAAATCTGAGTGAAATCACTGTAAAGTGCTAAATGGGAATTAGTATTGACTTGACCAACATCAGTAAGTTAAAATAAATAGTTGAACCAGGTTAGGGGTCTTCTGACCTCTAAAGCCTGGTACTCTTTCTACTATTACACCCTAGAGTAGAAAAGCAAGTTTTCATTAACGCGGTTCCAGACCATAGGTCAAACGAAATCTTAGGGGAAAAAAAGTAACATATGCTGATTCCTATTACACTTTTCTGTATTTTTTAGCATTTCTACAATAAGCACAAACTATACCCATAACAGGAAAAAATACAGAAATGCCAATTAACTGGGTTCATTTTATCTTTCCTATTCTTTAGGGCAGTAAGACTTCAGTTAGGTCAATAGCAGAGAAGGGAAAAAAGGGTACACAAGCCATGTTTCCACGAGATGAATAATGTAAGAAGGAAACTCTGAATCTAAATTACAGATTGCATTTCTCAAAGGATTCAACCATTCTGTCCCCACTGGAGGAAAACGAGAAACTCTAAATGTCAACATATTATTGAAGCCAGAACAAAAAAAATATTAGAGAGGAACAAGGAAACATCAGAGATTAAATCTAATAACTACAGAAGCAAGTGTGTTCACAGGAGCCATAAGAAGTGGTTTGTGCAACTGGAATAATCTTGCTTGAACTGAATTCTTACATTACACATTGAACCAAAAGATAAAATAGAAATAAATATCAATAGTTAACTAGAAAAGCTCATTCTTCGTTAACCTTTAACCTTAAAATCTTTGTCTGTGTTTCAGGCACAGTTAGCTCTTCTATTGGGTTACACATTCACAAATTAACTATTGCTAAAACAGAGTCTCAAGTTCAGAAAGGTTTTTGATGTTCTTTGATCAATGAAAGGCTAACGGGGTGGGCAACGCAACCTGGGCTGGCATGGGGTAGCAATTCCACTCTTAATACACAAAATACCACAGCCTACTTATTACCACAGCTCCAGCAAGTAGGTCCAAGAAAAAAAACAACGCCCAATGCCGCCTTTCCTGATCGGACTTTGAGAAAGACGCCCACAAAGCTCACTGTGAAACAAAGCCAAACCACCTCACCTGTCCGAAGGTAACCAATCAGACCAGAGCAAGGCTGCCCTGTGGGTCTAGGAAGCCAGGCCAAGCCCGTCTCTTCTCACCTCCCGCCTCTGCTGTTGGCTTCCACGTTAACTAAGGAGCCTCGCGTGTCACAAAGGAGTGTGACATCACCCGCCCCGCCGTGACAGGACAGCCTGCCCGACCAGGCCCCTCTCAAGGCCCGGCCTCCGCCGCTCACCGAGTCGCGAGGCCAGAGGATCCGTAGCAGAGCAGCGATCGGTCGGGTGGGGTCGGGGAAACCACAAACCTGTGAGGTTTCGCTTTCATTTACCACAGAAAGAAGGGACGGAAAGACGTGCCCTGAATACCAGAGGTCCAGGCTGGGCCTGGGCCAAGGGGCCCCTGCGTCTACACTAAGCGGAGGAGGAGAAGGAACGCAGAATAGGAGGGAGGAGGAAAGGGAGGCTAAAAAGGGGTATTCACTAGCGCTCCCGCGCAGATCGGGCGCCTGGACACCCCCCAAAACCCAGCGAACTTGCCCCCGCCCCTCCCCCGCTCCGGTACATTTCCGCTTGCGCGGTACTGGTTCCTGTCTTCCCCTCCCCTCTCAGCTTTCCGGAGTCCCATCGCAGACCAGGGCCCTGTTCCTACAGGGTACAGTCTGACCGAAAACGGAGACTACTCCCATTCGCGTTCACACAATAACTGCTAACCCCCTTCCATTCCTCACGCCAGGGTTGCGCAGTCCTAGCTTCAGACGTACCTTCTTATCCGACTCTCAGGAGCCCACACAGCTCTTCAAACACCGGATATGCTTCTGACTCTCCCCGAGTCCGCTTTAGACGCTTTTCCCTGCGTCCGCCCCTCCAGGAAAGCCCCGCCCTCAGGTTCCTTAAGACTAGTCCTCATTGGTCGTTGGCTGCACATCTGCCATTCTATTGGCTGTACGTGCATAAACTCCGGCTGCTCACTTCAGAACTATTCGCTAGTGCCCTTGTCGAGCAAGACTCTGACCACCAACCGGCGTCGTAGAAAAGGTCTCCGCCTTCTTCCCCATAGTAAGGAAGGATTGCTGTCCAAAGCTACCTCTAGTGGAGAAAGTGGAGATGGGCATGCCCCACCCAAGACACCTACTTGGCGAATAATGGAGCCCCCACGACGCGTGATGGGGTAGTGCTACAATGTCCCGAGATTCTAGTTTTAGGCTTGTTCACGGAATCTTAAGGGGGAAAGAGATTCAGAAAATATAGAAAACGCTCTCACAGGGACCCGCTTGCCGTGAATGTAGTGGAGCTTAAGCTTCAAGAACACCTTTGAATCCTTGGGCCTAATAAAATCGTTGTTTTATGCCGCCAACTTTGGGGTGACATAGATGACTGAAACAGTGTTCTTTCTACAAACCAATAAGAAAAAGACCAAAATCAACGTAAAATGGGCAAAGGGTATAAACAGGCAATTCATATAAGGGAAAACCTAAATGGCCAATAAACATATGAAAGTATTCTCACTAGTAATTAGAAAAATGCAAATTGAAACAATGGTATACCATTTCACACAAGATTGGCAAAATCAAAAAGTCTGACAACTCCAGTACTGGTGAGAAACCATGCACTATTGGTATATTGAAAAATTAGTATAAACACTTCGGAGAGCAATTTAACAAGATTTAATAAAGTTGAACATACCCTTATAATCTCAAAGTATATATTTTAATGCATATGTGTGAAGGTATATACCTAAGGCTGTTCATTGCAGCATTTTTTGAAATGAAAAATTAGAAACATGGTATTTTTATACCATGCTTTCTCAACAGGGGCGATGTCACCCCGAAAGGGGTGAAAATTGGTTCTTAGAAGTGCCAAAAATCTTAGATGTGGTTTGTGGTAGTGACCCTATCCTACAAAATCCTATCTAACAAAAACCTTATTCCTTAGTATTTAACTTATCTTGTTGGGAGAAATTAAAATTAAATGTGATTTATTTAGTAACTTGTAATTAATTAAATTTTCTCCTTGGGGGAGAAAATAAAAGGAAGGTTGAAAAACAGATTTATACAATGAAAAATTATACAACTGCTACAACAAATTTATTAGATTTATATGTATCAATACAAACACATCTTGAACACAACGTGAATGAAAACAAATTACATGTTGTTACATGCAATATGGAACAATTGATGTAAATGTAAAATAACACCCAAAAGAATGATATATATCTACAAAAGGAGATATATATCTATATCTATCTATCTATCTATCTATATATGTAGATATAGATATATATCTACATATATATATAGATATAGATATAGATATATATCTCCAAGGTTTTTAAAAAGTTAGATCATACAAACATTAAATTCATGATACTAGAAGCCTCCGAGGAGGATGGAAGATGAATGAGATTAGGGAAAGGAAGCTTCAACACATTTATAATGTCCTATTTTTATGAGAAATATTCTGAAGCAAAAGTCATGAAATCTTAACATTTGTTAATTCTAAGCAATGGACAGTTGGGAAATTTATTATTATTCTCAGTGCTTGTCTGTTTTTTTTTTTTCGTCCCCCAAAACTTTTCAAATTGAAACAAAATGCAAATTCAAGTATTACAAAAGTTCCTAGTTTTAGGTATGTGTTAGGTGCATCTGTTTTGAGTGAATCTGTATCAATGAAATCCAGTTTAGGAAGATAGAATATGAATGGGTGAAGGAGGCAGGGTTTACTTATAAAACAAATATTTTTTTAAAACCCTGCCTGTCCCCTGGCCCTAAAGATATTTGAGTATACTTGGCCCACAAACCCTCTGCTCTCAGGACCCTACAGACCTTTCCCCTTTCTCCTTTCCTGTTCCTAATCCAGGGGAGGGAAATTCTTCTTAGTTTGGTGAAGGTCCTTCCCCTTCCTTATCTGGCCAAGATCCTATGCCCTTACCCTTGAATACTTTGCCAAGGAAGCAAAATGCTTGGCAGGCATTATCTATCTGTTCACCGACCCTATCCTACTTTCTATATTCTCCTCTCCCAACCTCACTCCCAACCCAAGGCAATAAACATAAAGCTGATCAACTGCTTGATGGGGGAAAAGAAAAGAGGGAAAAACAAAGAGGAAGTCTTAAAATGAGACTAAGGTACCCAACCAGAGCTGCCATGTTTGGAGTGCCTGCTATGTGATGGGCACTCTAGATCCTTTTACAATGTTGTGAAATTTAAACTGACAAGATTCCTAAATTGTACTTTGTCTCCCCCACTCCCTTGCTTCTTTATTTGTCCACATCACTATCTACCCCTTAGGTTTCTATTCTGCCCACTAAGGCCAAGCTAAATTAAGCTGCCTCCCAGGAGAAGCTAGAACTTTGTTTTCAGAAAGCATAGAAATACTCTTAGGAAATGGCTTAGGAGACTGTTCCTTTATAGGACAGAGGTCCAGGGAAATGGCTAGGCAGGAAAGATGGCAGGAGAAGAGAAAACTAAGTGACTTTTTCCCACAGAAACGAATTTGAAGGGAAATTCTATTGCATTTCTAACTATTTCAAAGAACGTGGATACAGCTAATGACCAAAAAGCAAAACTAGAAGACCTTAGGAAGGGCCAGCCAAGTGGTGCATTGGTTAAGAGCTGGCTTGGGACTCCAGAGGGCCCCGGTTCAGATACCACATATGAGGGCCAGTGACACTGCCCTCTACAGCTAAGATGCTGAACAACAGTTCAACCTGGAGCTGGGCTGCTGTGAGTCGCTGAAGATGGCATAGGCTGCAGCCACTGCTGCAGTGGGTTGCCATGGGCTACCATGTGTAGCCAGCAGCCAGCGTGAGCGGCCAGCAGCTGCCATGAGCGGCTGTCCAGAAGCCGGTGACTGATCTGCCTTGCCCGGGAAGAGCACAATGATGGTGCCAACTTGGGCCAGTGAAGCAACGTCCTCCACAACTAGACTGAAGAACAAAAGGACAGCAACTTGTCTGTTCCCCATCCCCCAATTCCCCAATAAAAATCTTCAAAAATAAAAAAAAGAGCTTAGGAAGATCTCTTAAGCTTTGTAACTTCACATTTATAATTTGTTATCCTTTTTTTCTTATTAGTGAACAGAAGTAAAACCCTTGTGATCATAGGTTGTTTTAATTTTCTTTTTACTTTGCTTTCTATATATAATTCTAGTTAACATGTATCATATACTGCTTCTTGTATGCTAGACAGTATTTAAGATGCTTTATATGTATTAACTAATTTAATTTTTGCAATCACCCTGGGAGGCAGGAACACTTATTACATTTAAGATGAGGAAACTAAGGCTCAAACACTTTGCCCAAGGTCACAGACCTTGAATTCAAGTTTTGGGTACCTCATTCTGAAGCCCATACTCTAAATTATTAAGATATTTTGCCTCTCATTGTAAAATGGGCATCTATTATTAATGTAATTTTGTAAAGTGTGTGTGTGTGTGTGTGTGTGTGTGTGTGCTTAATAAACCCTTTGAAAGAAAATGTCATTTGTACTTTAAGGGAAGGGCTAAGGGAGAGTATAAGGATGGTGGGGAGGAAGGTGGAAAGACAGCAACAGATTCTGAATTCCAGAAGTTATGAAGGATGTGGCAGAGTTAAAGAGGAGATAAAAAAGCAGTTTGAATTCCTCAGCCTAGGACAAGGACACTGAGGAGAAGGGGGTGCTGGTAGGGAGGCCAGCCAGGTTCCCCAACAAATGGGGATAAGCATGGCTTCCCTGAGGTCATTTCTTCCTTACTTCACACCTTTCCTTGTCTACTTTTATAGGCCCAATATCTTCTGATCTCAAATGCACTAACCTTGTTATGCCCAGTGGTTGTGAGAACAAGCTGCTAACAGGAATAAAACACATTAAAATTTCCACCATCACCTATAAGTGTGTGTGAGTATTTAACATTCTGTTTAAAATTCAGGAGACTTTTCACTTCCCAGGTCTCATCTGCATATTCATTGACATCTAAGGACAAGAGTGAAGAACATTGAGCTTCCCCCCCCTCCAATTACAGTATTATGGGCTATTATTACTACAAAGTGGCAGGAGAAAAAAATGTACAGCTTGCAATATGTTTCTTTTTTAAGATTTTATTGGGGAATTGGGGGAAGGGAACAGCGTTGGGGAATCAGGGAAGGGGAACAGACAAGTTGCTATTCTTTTGTTCTTCAGTCTAGTTGTGGAGGACGTCGCTTCACTGGCCCATGTTGGTATTGTGATCATTGCGCTCTTCCTGGCTGAGGCAGATCGGTCACCAGCCATTGGACGGCCGCTCATGGCGGCTCATGGCAGCCCAGCTCCAGGTCAAGCTGTTGTTCACCATTTTAGCTATACAGGGCACAGCATCACTGGCCCTTGTGGGATCCGAACAGGTGGCCCTACTGCTCAGAGCTCGCGCTCCCAAGCCAACTCTTAACCAATGAGCCACTCGGCTGGCCCCAGCTTGCAATATTTTAAAATATCAACTCAGCCCCCCCTTTTTTTTCTTATAAATTTTATTGGGGAACAGCCATGGTCATTGATTACACACTGCTTTCATGTTATAATGGCATAGTTGACTTTCTTAAGGAGGGCACAGCTAATGCGGGGATCAAACCAGCAGCCTTGGTGTTATCAGCACCATGTTCTAACCAACTGAGCTAACCTGTCACCCCATCAACTCAGCCCCTTTTAACTTTTCAGAGTGCAGTGATAACAAGATAACAATAAAGTATTAGAAGAATGTTTTACTCTTTTCAAAGTCATTTTCCAACTGTTATTTCACTTTATCTGCATAACAACTCAGTGGAGAAGGTAATGCAGACAATACTAATCCATTTTACAGATGAGGAACTTGACACTCAAATACATTAAGTTCATTTTCCTAAAGCGCT